ATTCCTGCATTCTCTCTTGCCTGTCGTCTGCAGATAAGGGGTCGGGATGGAATTGGGGGGCAACTGTATCCGGACACACTGCCTCTGGTGGCCTGCATGCTCTTTGAGCCAGCTCCCCACTTCTGAGCATAATCTTTTTAATCTTGGTGGGTTGTCAGGCCTGATTTGAGGGACAAACACTCAGAGCCCGAGCACATCTCTCTGAACAGCGAATTGGAAAAGGAAGCATGAACACCTGGTTTTAGAACAAGGGTGTCCCTGCGGGTCCCCGAGGCCCTGAAATTTTACCCCTGTTCCTAGGAACTGCCACCCCTGCAGGATTGGGCAAGATGTGTGTCCACAGAAATGTGTTTTGAAGCTAATGCTCCTACCCACATAGAGATGTGTGGCTTTTTCAAAGTATAACCACACACATGGTCAGCAGGGTGGTGATTGCAGGGGGCAGAGGGGGAAGGGTGGAGGTGGAAGAGGTCATAGAGGGGATAAAAGGTGATGGGAAAAAATACATACGTACGTGCATACATAAATACATAAGCAAACAAATAAATACATAAATAACGTCCACACCGCTTTACGCAGAGTCGGCTCAGGCGGTGGACGCCAATGGGGCCAACCTGGATTCAGCTTCTTAAAGCTCCCACATGGTTGCCACTGAGAATTTGTTTGTCAGAAATCAAGCTAACCACAAAATGGAACAAACTGTAACCGCCGGTTACAGCCCCGACATACTGAAACTGCCGAATCCAGACACAAGTGTCCTCCCCACGAGTCGTTTCCACGGGGATTTTGCTCAGGCCTGCAGGGACGGGGAGGGGAGCGGAAGAGGGGACTCACCATTTCCCCTTCTGTGCTGTTTTTTCCTCTTGCTGATGAAGAGAATGAGGAGCGCCACAAAGAGTAAGAAGAAAATGCCTCCACCACAAATGCCAACGATGAGGGGGATATCCAGCCTCTTCTCTGCAAAAGGAAAGAGGGGGGATGGTGGGCAGTGTTAGCAGAGGGACCATCACTGCTCAGGCCACGGATTCCTGCCTCCCAAGTTAAGCAGATGCTAGAGCTTAATCAATACAACTCCTCAACCTCACAAAGGCCAAGCTCATAGAGGGTGGCGGAAGGTGTCTGTCCCCAAAGGCACCTTGAGGAAGTGCCCTCCTGGGCTAGCACACCTGATCCTTCCTGGCCAGGGCACCGCCAGGGCCCCCAGGAAAGAGACTACAGCAGAAGTTTAGATCTGAGAAGGAGTTAGAGACAATGCGGTATCACCTTTGGGTTTACAGACAAGGCCCAGAGAGGGAGGGTGAGTTGCCCAAGGCCACACAGTATCTTCCTGAGTGGTTCCTTTAAGCAGTTGCTTTTCTCAGAGTTTCTGCACTATTTACCCAGCTTCACCTCTGGCCGCCCTCCTATACCACTTGTTTCCCCTCACCCTCTTGACCAGGCAGTGACCAAAGACTAAGGGTAAATGTGTCCCTCCTATACCACTTGTTTCCCCTCACCCTCTTGACTAAGGGTAAATGTGTCCATTGTCCAGCCCAGCCCCCTGACCGCACAGCCAGCAACCCTCCCAGATTTCCCTGGCCTGTGAGAGAAACTCTGGCGCACACAGTGAGGCAGCAGCAGCGGCAGGGGGCTTGATCTTCAGCTCCCGCCCTTCTTCAGTTGCTGTAAAGCAGTGAGGAAAACAATGACTCAGTGTTTAGGGAAAAGGGTTTGAATTCCAGGCTCCTCTAGGCCAGCGCTGTGTGACCTTTGGCAAGTGACTCCAACTCTCTGAGCCTGTGCCTTTCTTTGTAAAATGGAGATGATGAAACTGACATCACAGGGAGGCTGCTGAAAGTCAATCAGATAATGGATGTGAAAGTGCTTTGTAAACTGTAAAGCAGCACACAGAGGCGAGGCCCTGCTCTTAGTTGAGCTCTGTGTCCTGGGAGCTGTTCCCGGGAGGGCTGCTGGGCCATCTGCCCTTTGTGAGTCAATGGCAGCTAGAGAGGCAGCAGCAGGGGCCAGGGGTCAGGGGACTCAGACATCTGGAGAACAAACTGGAGCTCAGCCCAGCATCACAAAGAAACCCTTCTCCAGCCAAACATTCCTAGGAAGATCCTCGTACACGGAGCCCAGGTTGAGCAGAGACCTTCCCAGGTTCTGACGTGGGTGGGCCAGGACAGGCCAGGGCTCAGCCAGGCAGCCACTAGCTCGTCTTCTCTCAGGCCTCACACGGGTGGCCACACCCTTATCCTGGGACACTACAAAGTCAGGCCTCAGGCTTGCCCAGCCTGGCCCTCTGGGTGTCTGGGAGCACTCTCCGTGGGAGACATCTCAGCTTGTCTCAGAGGCATTCAAAACTGGGAGCTCATGGTGTCTAAAGCCCGCCACCCTCCACCCTCCTGCCTGCCCTCCTTAAAGAGAGCGTGCCCAGAAGTGTATGTGGTGGGTCCTGCCTCCTGTGTTGTGGTTTTAAGCACACAATCACTATTCTGAGCCCCATGGTTACCGTTACCTCCACTCCCCTCTGCCTTGGCCTTTCGGGAGGAAACACCCTGCTCCTTTTTAGGGTCTTCAAGAGAAGCACCCACCTCCCCGGTCTCCCCTTTCCTTTCCCCGCCCCGGTATTCCTCCCATCTCTTCTGTGGCTCTTCCCAGTCCGGCCCCTGCTCTGCACCATAGAGTAAGGAGCATGAAGTTTCCAGTCTTTGACCCTAAGCTTCTCCCGAGGCCCTCTCTCCATCCCTAATGCACATGCATTTTTATCCTGGTGGGATCTAGTTTAAAAAGACATGAAGTAGGGTTGTCAGATAAAGTACAGGATGCCCAGTGAAAGTTTAATTAAACAATGAATGATTTTTAGTTTAGCTATGCCCCATGCAACATTTGGAACATATTTATGCTGTCTTTTTCTCTTTTTTTTAATGCTATCTTTTTATTTGCTAAATCTGGCAACTCTAAGCAAAAGCCTCCTGAAAGGGAAAAGGGATCGTAAAGTCAAGGAGAGGCCGCTGGATTCACTGTGCTGTGGTGATGGGCAGACATGTGGGGAGAAGTGATGCTGGTCTACGTGTGTGGGTAGACTCTTAGATGGCCCAAAGATCCTGCCCCCTGGGATTCCGTCTTTGTGTCATCCCTTCCAATTGAATGTGGCCCGGACTTATTGGTTGCTTCTAATGGCTAGAATACAGCGGAAGTGCTGGGATACCTATCACTCCTGAGATTATTATAAAATGTTCATGACTTTTGTCTTGAGACCTTGTTCTTGCTCTTGCTTAGATTGCTCAGAGGGAAGTTGGCAGCCATACTGTGAGGCAGCCCAATGGCCCACATGAGTGATCTTGGACATAGATCCCTCCATAGAGCCTGGACATGATTGACAGGACATACTGCCAGTATCTGGATTGTAGCTTCATGAAGGATGCTGAGCCAGGACCATCAAGTCATTCCCAGATTCATGACTCACAGAACCTGTGAGATAGTAACTGCTTGTTGTGTTGAGCCACAAAATGTGGGATAATTTGTTATGCAGCAAAAATATAACTAATTCAAAGAATATATATGAAAAAGCCTTACTTCTGCCTTCGCACCAGCCCAGGGCTGCATCCTAGGGTCACTGACCAGCCATAGTCACTGCAGAAACTCAGGACTTCTGACCAAATAACTACTTTTGTGTTCAGTTTCCCTTCTGGGGGTCCACCAGACAGCGTTGGGAAGATAATCTCAGAGTCTCAGATGAGTAGACTCTTGGGAATCAGGGGCTTATTTTCCTTGCTGACCAGGAGGCTGTGGCCCAGAGGAAAGGAACTCCGTCAAGACATCCCACTACATTTGGACAGACCTCTGGCTTCCAGAGCTGAGCACTCAGCTGACTGCCTCCCCAAATTTACTTCTGGGGACAATGTCAGGCTGGGCTGCCAGGAAAGAGCTGAGATGCTTAGAGTTTCAGGACTTCCTGGTGCTGGTGCCATAGCCAGGCTGTCTGTTCTAAGGCAGGAGGAGCCTTTTCTCACTGCACCTATGGTCCTCCCTGGCCTCGAGCTCTTCTCCTCCCAGCCCCTAACTCCATGTTTTTTCAGCAGCCTCTGATAGGAGGTGCTGGCCCTCCCCGCCGCGTCCTCGCCCCCTTCCTCCCCCACAAAGAATCTTGCCTGCTCTCTTCTCCATCATTACAATGGGAGTCACCACTGTGATTACTGACTAGTCTAGGGACCATGGGCAAGTAAGTTCGTCTCTCTGGGAAGTGGAGGTTTGCATAAAATGGCCTCTACAGCTCCTTCTGTGTCTTCGGTTTGGCAATTCTTTCTCCAAAGATCTTTTTAATTACCTGAGATTACATGGTGTTCTGTGGGAAGGTGCCAGGTGGGTAACCATAGCACACCACCTCCTCTTTCCTCTAAGTCTTGCCTTGAAGGTTTTTAGGGGGAAGGGATATGCTTTCAGTTCTCACCCTGAGTCAGAGCTGCCTCCCAGCCTGGGCACCAGGGCCCTGGAGTGGGCCTCCCCCATGGGCCTGGCAGACTATACTTGAGAAGTGAACTTGGGATGTACCTGAACAGTCAATGTGCACCATGCTGGTTTCCACACTGACGCCGTTAGTTGCTGTGCAATTGAATGGTGCAATTGATTTGATGGTCCCCTTGTACCTGATGATCTTCTGGCCTTCTTTGATTATGTTCCTATATCGATACAGTGTTATTTTAGGGTCAGTTCCTTGTGTTACCTCACAGGTGATGGTTGCGTTGGCACAATTCCAGTTGATCACAGGTTTTGAGACCTTCTCTGAAAAGAAAAGAAAAATCCCAATCATATGAGTCAACTTTCTGATTATATGATTAATAGACATACCTTATTATAGAGGGGGGGGAAGATAGAGTCAGTTTGAGACCAGGGAGCGATTTCAAAGACCCCCACTATTTTCAAAAATCGTTTTTATTTTATCTACAGCACATTCAGAAGAAAATGTATTTATGATAAAGTTCATACATACATTAAACCAGTAAAAATGTATAATGTCAAATGTTTAAGTGCTGTTTTATACCTTAAACGGTTTTCACATATAGGATGTCATTTGGTCCTAGCAAACAGAGAGGTTGATGTTTTCCTTCCTATTGGCAGATGAAATGCCCAAGGCTCTGAGAGGTTAAATTGGGTGGGTTCTTGCCCAGAGCGGCCTGGCCACGCATTGTGCCCCATTGGACCTCATCTCTAGGAGAAAGATAAGAAAGACAGGCCCCACCTGATGTGACAGGGGCAACATGTGACAAACCCCTGGGTCAAGTGTTAGGCACCGACGTTATTGGTGGTAGTTGATCCCTTCATAATCATGAATTCCTTGCTTTTCTGACATGAGAATCTTCAAAGAGCCTGGCTTTGGCGTCAAACAGGCCAGGTGCAGATCCTACCACACCAGTTGAGACCTTGTATCTGTGAGACCTCCTCCGATTTCTCCTCTTCTGCTCTTTCTCTCCTACTTCCTTCTGGCCTCAGACTCACCACCTTTCTTGCCCGGGTCTCTCCATTCATTATGCTGATGGACAGCTTATTTTCCCAGGATCCCCTCCCTGCCTGACTCCCAGACAACAATATCTCATTAATGAACTTTCCCACCAAATTGCATTTCTGTCTCAATATATGGGCATGCAGAAATTAAGCTTTTCCCCCCGTCCTTGCATTCTATGCAACCAAGAAAGAGAAAGATGCAGAAACGCCATCAAACAGCAAGACAGGGTCAATGCGTAATCTGGGGTTGAGTCAGGCATTTACTTGTCTTTTCAGAATGGAAATATTCTTTGTTCTATTTATGAGTGACACCCGATCATGGTAAAAATTGATTTTAAAAGTTTCAAGATTAAAAATCACTTGCAATTCCACTACTCAGAGCCAATAATTATTAATGCTTTGATGTATATCTTTAGCAGATGTTTTCTATGCATTCTATACACATATAAATAATGTTTTAAAAATGAAAACTGTATCCTGTGATTTTGTAGTCTGCTTTGTTCCTTCACTGGTCTTCTAGGAAATTCCCTTAAGTATGTCACCATCGTTGTTTTTAAATGGATGCATTCTTCATTTAATGAATAATTTTCTAACTGCTGGGGACTTTAAAACCCTTCCCAGTATTTCACTAATATAAGCCACATGACGATGAGCAGTTTCTCCAAGTCCTATCTTTGTACATATCCTCCCTGTCAGAGGGCTTCCTAGCAGAGGAATGGCCAGATCAAAGGGGGCTCATCCCATAGGTGGGAACTCCTTAATTCTAGGTTTAACCCCTTCTCCACTAACATCAGCTTTTAAAAGGCTTTCCACTGCCTCTTCCGTCAGCGGCAGCAGCCCCCTCATTAAGGGGATTTGGGTGCCAAGACTGTAGCCAGGAGAAGCATGAAGAAGCAATGAGAAGGGGAGGGCACCTGGCAAACAGGCACTGTGTCCCAGGCCCCGCAGGGCACCTGTGCTTAGTCATTGAAGCCATGTCTCACTGAATACCCCAGGCAATTATTATTATAAAAGCCACACTGAGAGAAGATAGAGAATTTACTCAAGGCTGTGTGGCAAGGAATGGTGATGATGCAAATATAATTTAGTATTGCATTTCCCATGTGATTACTTTAGCACTTTAGCATACACACACACCCACACACACACACACACACACACACACACACACACAGGTGGCTGTTGTGTCATGGAAAGATCTCTGTCTTTTGGCCAAGGAGTGCAGGGTTTATTTTGGGGCGGGGGGGACTACGGATGTTCTAAAATTGATTTTGTTGTTGGTTGCACATCCCTGAGCATACTAACCACCACTGAATTATACACTTAACATGGGTGAATTTTATGGTATGTGAATTGTGTCTCAATAAAACTTTTGGAAAGAAAAAAATGTCACCGTCTTTGCTGAAAAGAAGCCCTGGGTTTGGTGCTGACTTTGTAGCAGTCACACTGTGAGACTTGGGGCAAGTAGCTTCTGTTTCCTTATAGAAAAGAAGGGGGTAGTAACAGCGACCTCTCACGAGTGCTAGGACCCTCTAATAAGGTCATGGAAGCAAAGCGCTCGACACCCAGCAGACAGGCAGTGTGATGGCTACCGTACTAAAGAAGACAGGAGTGGGAGGCTCGTGTTCGAAGCAGGACCCCGAGCCCATGCTGGCAAGAGTCTTGAGATCTGGGGCTCCCAGATCCAAACGCAGAGGCCCCTTCTGGCTCCATTCTATGTCCCATCCCAGTTCTGGAATGTACTCTCCATTCAGGTTTGAGGACCAGGGTGTGGGAAGCTGTCATGTGCAGGGAGCTGACAATGTCTGGGATTGTTGGAGAAGGGTGGCTGCCAGGTCCACATACTGAGGACAGGACAGGAAGGTGGCCCTGGGTAGGAGGAGGGGCCCTACCCCGGTGACATTTCCTGTGTGAAGCCAGAAGTGTTATTTGCTCAGAGTGGCTGCCTTGTGCTCATGCTGAGGTTCCTGTCTTCCTCTCAAGGCCAAATGCGGCTTCCTCTTCTCACTTTGATGTTTTGTGTGCTTTTAAAAAAATCCTCACCTGAGGATATTTTTCCATTGATTTGTATTCTTCCCCCCTCCAAAAATCCCCCTCCCATTGATTTTAGAGACAGTGGAAGGGAGGGGAGAGGAACAGAGAGAGAAGCATCCATTGGTTGCCTCCCACATAAGCCCTGACCAGGGCTGGGGAGCAAGCCTTCAACTGAAATACATGCTCTTTGACTGGAATCAAACCTGAGACCCTTGGGTCCACTGACTGACGCTCTATCCACTGAGCTGAACCGGCTAGGACCCTCTTCTCACTGCTTATCACCCCTTTCACGCGGCTCCTGGACGTTCAACTGCATGTCATTTCAATTCCACTTTCTCTTCCCTCTGCCCCACACCCATGCCATCCTGCCCAGGCTTTCTCCACTTGACTCTCCATATGCTCACCCTGCCTCATTTGACAGACATCCTCGAGTCCAGGCCAGAGAGTGTCAGCCTTTACTGCCGATTACAGTCACCTGCCAACCTAGACCCTGCTGGTGCCCAGTCCCACGCTAAAATATTCTGACTTAATTGTCAGGATGGAACCTGGGCACTGGCAACTTTTAATAGCCTCTTGGTTGATGCTAACGCTCAGGCAGGGCTAAGAATCACAACCCAGCCCCTCTCCCCTTCACTGGGATACAGCAGCAGCCTCCTGGCCAGTTTTCTCGCCCCCGTCTTCAGTATCCTCTCTGCCCTCCCGGCCATGCACAGACACACACAGCCACACCTGTGCGTTCTCTACAGAGGCCGGCAGAACCCACTTGGACCACGCTGATGTGGAGTGAGTGGCTCAGAAACCAGGGCCCTTCATCCTTAAATGCATCCTTCCCAGCCCTTTCCTGCCATAGAACTACTCCTTCGGGGCATCCTGGCTGAAAATTGTCTCTTTGTTGGAAGGCCCACAGCTCTCCAGTGAGCCTCACCTTCCCTGCCCTCCCCTTAGCTTGCCCTTCATCATCCACCTGAAATGCCTACCTTTTCTTTCACCACTGCCTGCTCCCTCCCCGATTAATGCCACCTTAATCCGGGTTCTTTGCTCAGCCGCACATTCCCATAACCACTGAAGAGACAGCCAGTTCCAGGCAGGCAGACTGTGTATTAGCTGTGTATTTCCACATGTGGATTCCATCTCCCACAGCTCGGAGCCTCCCCTGAGGCAGGAGGGATGCCTCCGTTTTCCCTCGGGCTCCTCCAAGGCTGAGGCGGGGGCTGGGGACATTTGATAAATGCTACTCCCCAACTTGCTAAATAGCACCCACATTAAGATGGAGGAATTTAGGGAACAGACTTACCTAGAATCTTCAGATCAAATGTTTGCGTCAACATGTGGCGTCCGTCCGAATCATATAGGTCTACCTTATAGATATCACTATCATTTCTTTGCAGATGTTTAATTTTCAGAGTTCCATTTTCGAATACTTGGTATTTTTCCTGTTGCTGGGGGGTAATCTTGCCATTTAAACGTCGTATAATCCTCTTTCTATTTTTTTCCCATAGTATATCATAAATATTATACGAAGGAGGATCAGGAACGATCATGTTGATGTCATCGTTCAGGATACCCTGGAGTAACACAGTAACTGTAGGAGTGACACCTATAAAAAGCAAGACAGTCTCTGAGGCCTTGAGACTCACCGCCAGGCACAGCTGGCTGTGACCTCCCAGACTCTGCACTCACTTCAGAGCCTCCAAAGGAGCTTGGCATGGTGACACTGGAGACCCACACCCAGCTTACCTGTGGTAGAAGGGATGAAAGTCAGAAGGCAGCTGGCTAGGATCGTACATGCGAAGTTCATCTTGGGGGTTAGTTTCCTTATTGTGATTCTGAGCTTTAGCACAAGGAAGTAAAGTAAGACTGGAAGAACCCACCCCTGTGAGCTTAACCACGTGCCTCTTTTTTGCTGCTTTTACAGTAGCAGAGAGAGTGTGTGTACACACACACACACACACACACACACACACACTCACATACACACACAGCAAATTAACCCTGCTGATTTGCTCCTTTGCCAAAGTAGGCATACTTAGGAGTGTGTGTTTTCTTCTCACATTTTAATTCTCACCAGCACCTTGGGCAGGGGGTTCGGGTGGGGGGCGGTTTTATCCCCCATTGAAGAGACAGAATCTGAGAGCTAAGTGAATCACTCAGCATCACCCCTTAGTTAACAAGGACCCCAATTCTACCATGTAGCCCACCTTCCAATCATGTTGCTATAATGTCTCTGACAAGACCACATGGAAGTACAGGTAGATGTTCAAAAGTGAATAGCAGCATACAACTATTTATCCTATGGTTATTAATACTAGGAAATGAATATGTATGAGATAATTATAAAAGTGGATTTCTTTTCTTTCTCAAAAGGTGTTCTTGAGGTTCTAAAATTATATTATGATGAAAAGAAACAAATATAAATTGAGTCTCAGCTCTAAATGTTTGAAATACCCGAATCTTATGTTTAGCATACATTTGTGGAACTCTATTAAAAATTCACAGTTAGGTAAATAAAAATGTGTTCCAAAACAAACAAAAATGCATAGAGACTATGAAATACTATTAAGCAACCAGGACAAACCATTAAAAAAAATTTAAGGTGGGTAACACTATTGATGGTTAGAGAAAGGAACAGTTGAGTAGAGAAAGAGGAGGGAGGGCGGACTAGGAAGGAGAAAGGAAAAGGAAACTGGTGACACAGGCAGAGAAGCAGAGTGAGGGGCACAATGATGGGCGCACAGAGAGGTCTAGTCCCAGGAAAGGGGACACTCAAAGGCAGCTCCCCAAAGTAAGTTTCCAGTTTTATGATTCTGTAGGCGAGAGGGAGTAACAATCTCAAACATTGGGCTTGTTTTCTGTTTCAACTTTACTTACAAATATAGATATTATCTCCAAAATGTGGCCCAGGAAATGAAATTAAGCCAAGCAATGGATCGCAGCCACTGGGTCATAGGAAGTCTGAATAGAATGTTGGGCTCATGATTGTGTGACAAACCCCTAACTCACATCATCCACAAAAATGTGCTGTAACTGGGTTAAATATTTAGACATTAAAACCTATAATAGTATTAAAAATATAAAAATATTTTTCATTTCTTTGAGTAGGAAAGGCCTGCCTACATATACTATATGATCCAAGGGTCATAAAGAAAAGATGGACACAATTGACTACATAAAAAGATAACATTTATGTATAGGCAAAGAGATGAACAAAATGAAAACACATGGCAGGAAATAGCTTAAATATATTTGAAAAATTAATATCCAAGAAATACATTATTCCTATCAATAAGAAAAAGAAAACTCCCTTTTTTGAAATGGGTAGAGTATATAAATGAGCAGTTTATAGGAGAAATATCAATAAACATATAAGAAGACATCTAAAATCACCATAAAATATCATTTTCAGCATTAAATTGTCAAAATTATTAAAAAAATAGGAATGTAGGAAAGAAGAGGGACCTTTATACAATATTGGAGGAGTTTTAAATCCATACATCCTGGCCAGGGTAAAATTTGACAATTTCCACCAAATTTTAACATACATATATAGACAGATAGATTTATATGTATAAAATTTTGACTTGATAAATTTATCATACCCAAATAGTTGCATAAGTATGTAAAAATTCTGTTTGGGGATGTTTGTTGTAGCATGTTTTTTTAACAAATATTGAAAACAACTAACAGTATATTCATATTGTGAAATATTGTATAACAGTTTGGTCAGGGTGCTCTTACTGCTTCTCACAAGAAGCTTAAAAATGAAGTCTTTGTCCTCTTTTAGAAATGCGGAAACTGAAACTCAAAGACTGCATATGACTATCCAGGAATGCAGTGTACAGTGGGGCTGGCCCATTGGGCCCAGAGCTTTCTTCTCCATAATCACGTGATTATACAGCTGGTGACAGATGGGCATCTACTTCTTCTCACAGAGACATTAATCCGCGCAGGGACTTCCAGGCTGGGCGACTCTTGCATCAGGAGCCCAGACTTCACACAGGAGCGATTTCGTGGGTTGGTTCTCTCTTCCCTGCTGTGTGGGTGGAACACAAAAAGGAAAGAAAGCTCAGTGTTTGCCAAGGCGTGGGCTCTCAGACCCAGGTCTCCCCCACGGGATGTGCCTCGGTGGCTGATTGCATGAGGCCGCTTTGAGGGAGCAGCCGTCCCTTGCCTGGCAGTGAAAATGGCTGTGATTTGGAGTTGATGCTGATGTGACCACCCAGACACAACCAAGCAGACCAGGCTGCAGACAGACCCACAGCGTGGCCTTGCCGATCACCATGGAAGCCGCGGTGTGCTCCGTTTTCCCTCCTTTTCCACATGTCTCACCTGAGCTTGTGGGGAGGTCTAACAAGGCCCCAAAGAGAGGAGACTGCTGGGAGCCGGTCCATCCTTGCTGCTTGACACAGTCGCTGCAGGGAAGGAACATCTGCACAGCACATGATTCAAGGGACCTGGCGTATATGGCATACTGTTCTTAATATGTTTGCTCACCTTAGCGCTATGTGTTTTAACCAAGGTCACCTCTCCGAGAAAGGTTGTTTCCCCAGGTAGGGATTTTTCCCTGAAGTCAGGGAGGGGATGAAACTCCTTAACTAAGTGCCAGGCGGGTAGTTAATCACTTTAACTACGAACAATCATGCTTAAGCTA